ACTTGCAGGTGGCCGCAGCAGGGAGCTCACCAGTCACGATGAGAACGTTCTTCATCTCAACTTTACCAAATGTAGCTTTTAGCCCTCCCTACCCAAGGTCTGCCCTCTGGGGCTCAGAGAGCTACTCCCCACCTGCTCTGGGCATTCCAGGGCATTCTATCTCTGTTCCATGACTTCTGTTTCTGGCGTCCAGGTATTTGCATTTTAGAGTCAGTCTCGTGTTGAGGAGAGATCTCACCACCACCTCTTCCATGCAGCCTTCCTGGACTGAAATCTAGCAACTGTGTGAAGTGCCTTGGCCAGTGAGGGCTGCTGGGGCATCTGTCCTGTCTGGACTGGGGCCTGCTTTTCTCTTTTCTGTCTGTCTCTGGACGACCCTGTGAGATCCTCAGTCTGTATCCTCTTTCTCTAGGGTCCCGCATCATACTAATGGCTGGTGGTCCTAAAGCAGGCGTGGTGGGTGTAAAGGGTGCGAGGGTCTGGGATCGTGGCGCCCTGTGCATCACAGGTTCTGAGGTTTCAAGATTCGGTCATTCGGTTTTTCCATCCAGCTCCTATTGCCTGAGACCCCTCTGCTGCCACCCACTTGGGTGGGGAGGACCATGTGTCCGCTGGCCCCCAGTGGGGTCTGGGGTGTCTGAGGACGGCGTGCTGTAGCGTGGGCTTCTGCCTCGATAGCTTCACTGAGCCGTGCAGCGAGGGAGCGAGCATGGAGGATCAGACAAGCCAGTGGGGACCAGGTGGTGACAAGGCCCCTACAAGTCCAAAGTATGACTTTTTAAGAATAACACCTTATTGCGGCCACCACTTATCAGGGGTGTGGACAGATAAATGGCCTGGAAAAGGCAGAGCTGGCACGCATGTGGAGCACGGTGGGCAGGGCCTCTCTCTGCAGGCAGAGGATGTTTAGGCATTTTTTGCCTTTTCTTTTTAACATTCCCTTCCTGGCCAGAAAGTGTTTCTAGGAAACACACCCAGCCCATTGTCACCCAGACTCTGGGAAGGTGTCTGTTGTGGATGTTCTGTGTAAACAGGAAGGGCCCGGGAGTGGGGGTGTTCCGAGGTGGGCCTTGCTGGGGCGGCTGCCCCCTCTGGACCTGGGAGCCCCAGAGGCTCACAGCCTCGTTTGGAGCAAGAGTGGGACACTTGACCTCGCACCAACAGGCCAGGTAGGCCAGGGCACGCGCAAGGAGCCAGGGTCCCTCCTTCACGTGCGGGAGGCTGGAGGCTCCTTGCACTCCTCCCTGTGCTTGGCTCCCTCTCCTCAGGATTTTCAGAGAGAGCTTTGGGATAGCCAGACAGGCTGCCTCCCTCCCTGCCTCCCTCCCTCCCTCCTTCCTTCCTTCTTTCCTTCCGGCCGAAGCTTTCTCCTGCCGCTCCCTCCTCTTCCTGCCAGGGCGGGCTAGCTGTCACACGAGCAGCTGGCCAAGCAACACAGGCTGGGCTGTCCACACAGGCCCAGCCGAAGCCCAGAGAGTTCTCCCGGTGCCTTGTGTGGCTGTGGTGTGTGAGCTGGAGTTTCATGGCTGAGAAACCCTCTTTATGCCCTGGTCGGCCCCCCTCGGCAGGAATGCTCCCTGTGGGTGGGCACGGTGGGCAGCAACAGAGTCCCCTCCGAGAGTGTCTGGGCCTGCCTGCCCTGGTGTCCTGGGGACAGCTGGCTTCAGGAGAGCAGCCCCCAGGGTGGTCAGGCAGGCTTCCCCGGAAACTCTCTAGTTCCCTCCTTCAAATCAGAGCCCCCTGCCTCACCCCCTGGTCCTCCCATGATTACAAACCCAGAGCAGGGGACGGGATGGGGGTGGAGAAGCTTGGAGAATCCAGGAGCCATTTCTCCCTGACCTTAAAATCCTCATCTTATTCTCAGAGGCCAGGAAGAAGGGTGGGCAGCTTCCCCAGGGGTGCCAGGCACTTGTGGTTGGGTCGGACTCCAGCCCCCGGCTTCTGAACGCAGCCCTGACGTCTGACCCCCACGGCCCAGCCTCCTCCCAGATGCCCACAGAGCTGCCTTTGCCCTTCTCTGGTGGAGCTGTCTGCAGAGCCTATCAGTGCAGAGTCAGTCTTGCCTTCCTGTCCCTCTGCCCTGAAGTCAGTGGGGTGTTCCTCTGGATTGCACTGAAGGGAGGGCCCAGCTCCATCCAGGGCTCAGCCTGCGTGGGCTTGGACCAAGCAGAACTGTCCCGCAGAGTGGGCGTGCCTGTCTGCATTTCGCAGACAAGGAAACCGAGGCTTGGAAAGGGAAGAGGCTGGCTCAGGTGTCCTGTTCCAGGGGGCTGTTGCAGGTAGGGTGAGGCGGGGCTGTGATGGGGGCCAACCCCGTGGTGGTCCAGGTGTCCCTGCGGTGTCCTGGTGGAAATGACAGTGGTTTGGGACTCACATGAACAGCCTGATTTTGTGTTTGTCTCGCTTGGACTAATTCTCCTGCCTGCCTTCTCTGGTCAGGTCCTATTGGCTCTCTCCCTGGCCTTCACCTGGGGGTTCTCCCTGGGTGTGGAGACCGCTAGGCTCCAGGTGTTTGACCTCCCGGTGTGGGTTCTGTGCTCCTTGTCCATGGAGTTTAGTGACTGATAGGGCTGATTTGCAGTACCGATCTTTGCCAGTAGGTGTAGGTGCCACCAACATCTGGTTCTGGCATTCCTTAAATTTGCATTTCTGAGTTCAG